TGGCCCCTTCGCTGCCCTTCGTGGCCCCGATGCATCCCTCCGTGGCCCCCTCGCTGCCCTTTGTGGCCCCATCGGAGGTCGGGGGGTGAGATCGCAGTGAAACGGAGACCCCCCACCAGGAAATCGGTTTCGGTTTCGTGTTCGTGTCGTGCGTGCGGGCGAGGCGAAGCTGCGCGTGATCCTCCTGTAGCTAGGCCGAAGTAGGAGCTGAAGTCCTTTCCCGTCCGCCGGCGGCTGGGAGGTGTCCCAGTTAGGCCGGGCGGTGTCCCGGGTGTCCTGGGTGTCGTCAGTAGGAGCGAAAGTCCGTTTCCCGTCCGCTGGTGGCTGGGAGGTGTTCTAGTTTGGCCGGGCGGTGTCCCGGGTGTCACGGGTGTCCCGGGCGTCCCGGCGCTAACGCATGTCGTTAATTTCATAATTCCATGTTTTTTGCGCATGCGGCGGGCTTTCCCATCCAACCCAGCTTATCTTATCCAATCCATCTTGTCCAATCCAATCCATATTACTTTATCCAACCCATATCGCCCCATCTTTTATTCCACTCAATCCAACCCATATTATCATATCCAATCCATCCCATCCCATCCAATCCAATCTACCCAATCCAATCCATCAATTCATTATTGTCGGCGCCTGGGCGCGATCATCATTGTGGTGGAGGGAGACTCTGATAGAGAGGGAGAGAGAAGAGAGAGATGGCGAGAAAGAGAGAGAGAGAGAGAACAAAAAAAAAAAGAGACAGAGAGAGAGAGACAGAGAGAGAGAGAGAAAGGGAGAAAGACAGAAATAGTGAGATGCAATCAAGGTGACAGGCTGGAAGTCAGTCAGGGTGGTCATTTGATCTCAATCCCCCCCCCGAGCCTCCTTATCGCCCGCAGGGCGGTCGTATAGGATATATGTACCTATGCGGCCACCCCTCGGATGATAAGGAGGTTCGGGGGGGGGGAGGAAACAACGTCTCACTCGACCGGTCTCACGATCGATCTCACGATCGATCTCACTATCGGTGTCGCTAGATCGATTTCACACGATCGATCTCACAATCGATCTCATTCGATCTATTTCATTCGATCGATCTCACAATCGATCTGACTATCGATCTCACAAGCGATATCACTATCGTCTCACTATCGTTCTCACAATCGATCTCACATTCGGCCTCACTACCGATCTCACTCTCGATATCGCAATAGATCTCACAATCAACGTCATCAACATCATCAACGTCATCGTCTCCAACGTCATCAACATCATCATCGGGACACCATCATCATCATCACCTCATCACCATCATCATCACTCCATCATCATCCGCATCACCTTCATCATCATCGGTACACCATCATCGTCACCATCATCATCAACACCATCATCATCGGGAAACCATCATCATCCTCATCGGAACACCATCACCATCATCCCATCATCATCATGAACAACATCATCGACAGCATCATCATCAACATCATCATCGGGACACCATCATCATCAGCAACATCATCAACATCATCGTCATCGGGACACCATCATCATCGTCACCATCATCATCATCTCCATCATCATCATCATCATCGGGACACCATCATCATGAACATCATCATTATCATCATTATTGGGCCACCACCATCAACACCATCATCACTCCATCATCCTCATCATCAACATCATCACCATCGGGACACCATCTTCGTTATCATCATCAACATCATTTACATGGGGACACCACCATCCTCACCATCATCATCATCATTATCATCATCAACCTACCTCATCATCATCATCATCGGAACACCATCATCAGCATCACCATCATCACTCCATATCATCATCAACAACATCATCATGATCATCAACATCATCATTCTCATCATCATCGGGACACCATCATCATCAGCAACATCCGCATCATCAGCATCATCATCATCATCGGGACACCATCATCATCACCACCAGGGCCATCGTCATCATCAACATCGTCAACAACATCATCATCATCATCGGGACACCATCATCATCACCACCATCACCATCAACATCATCATCATCGTTATCATCATCATCGTTATCATCATCATCTTCAACATCATCGACATCACCATCATCATCATTATCATCATCATCATCATCATCATCATCATCATCATCATCGGGACACCGACGGGACACCGGCGGGACACCGCGGGCCACCGGACGCTGGTCCGGAATCATTTGGTCTGGCCGCGCCTCAGCCGGAGGCGGGACACCGGCGGGACACCGCGGGCCACCGGACGCCGGTCCGGAACCATGTGATCCGGCCGCGCCTCAGCCGGAGGCGGGACAACGCGGGACACCGCGGGCCACCGGACGCCGGTCCGGAATCATTTGGTTTGGCCGCGCCTGAGCTACAGGAGACTTTCTTCTCGCCCGCCCACGCAGCTTCGCTTCGCCCGCACGCACGAACACGAAACCGAAATCGATTTCCCGGTTCTCCGTTCCACTTCGATCTCACCCCCTCACCTCCGATACCCTTCGTGGCCCCCGCTCGTTCGCGCCTTCGTGGCCCTGCCCTTCGTGGCCCCCGCTCGTTCGCGCCCGTCGTGGCCTCATGTGCATGCCCTTCGTGGCCCCGCTGTCGCCCGTTGTGGCCCCCTCGCTGTCCTACGTGGCCAAGTTGCTACCCTCAGTGGCCCCGTCGTTGACTTCTGTGGCCCCGCATTATCTGCCCTTCCTGGCCCCCGCTCGTTCGCGCTCTTCGTGGTCCCATACGCATTCTCTTCGTGTTCCCGCTGTCGCCCTTCCCGGCCTACTTCGTGCCCTTCGTGGCTCCGCTGTCGTTCTCTCTCTCTCGCTCTCGCTTTGGCTCGTCGTCGTCGTCGTCGCCGCCGCCGTCGTCGTCGTCGTCGTCGTGGTCGGTCCCCTGTCGGTCCCTGTTGGGGTCGGGTTGCCGCCGATCAGCGCTGCCGCTGGCCAGGCCGACGGTCCGCGGCCGCCCCGCCGCTTGCCAGCGGGGCCCGGCCTGCAGGGAAGAGAGGTATACCCCCCCAAAGGGGTACGATTGAAGACGAAGAGGGCGGGTATCGAGGGTTTAGGAAATACGCGTTGACGGACAATCGAGCAGATAAGAGTGAAGTCTTAAAATGATTGTTGTTGTTGGTGGTGATGATGATGTTGTTGCTGTTGCTGCTGCTATTGCTGCAGTTTGGGACCCAACAGCACAGTTTGAGCAGGAATATACTCCCTCATGAAAAACAGTGTGCGAGCCCCGAAGGGGACACTTCAATTGAAACACGAGGTGCGCTAATGATGGGGGTATCAACATTTTTTGTTCAATAGTGAGAGTCCAACAACAAAAACAACAGCAGCATCAGCAACAACAACAAGATCGCTCCCGCTGAATACTTTGTCCGTTTTCATTGAGGACCAGGGGGATGAGGAAGCAATCCTGTGATGATTCTCCCTTAGAGTTGCGGGGTATGAGTCCCCACGCATTTGACAAGAGCGTCCAAGGAAGGTATCCTGAGCCAATCGGCAGGCCAGGGGATGATACGGTTTATAGGGCTAACTCGTATCCTTCGCCATTTGGCTCCTGTCTTTTCCTCCCCTCCCTCCTCCTTCTCACCCCCCTCGGCGTTGTGAGTGTCCGTCCCGCGTTCTGGGTGAGACTCACGAGCCCGTCACTCAGGACAGGTGCTCATGCTGGTCGCCGAAACCAGCCCCCCAAACAAAACTGGCGTTCCCGCTCGAGGCTGGCCGGCTGACTGGCATGCCCGCGCGAGGGCGGCCGGGCAGTGCGCGGGCGGCGCCCTGCCGCGGGCCCGTCGTCGTTGTCGACGTCGTTGTCGACGTCGTCGTCGTAGTAGTCGTTCTCCATGCGGGTTCGGCGTCATCCATTCGTCGTCGTCGTCTTCGTCGTCGGCGGCCTTCTTGCCGCTTCTCCTCGCGCCAGCGGCCGCCGCAGTCGTCGTGGTCGTCGTCGTCGTCGTCGTCGTCCATTCGTCGGCGTCCATTCGTCGTCATCGTCGTCGTCGTCCATTCGGCGTTGTCGTCGTCCATTCGTCGTCGTCGTCGTAGCCGTTTTCGTCCATGCGCCGTCGTCGTCCATGCGCCGTCGTCGTCGTCGTCGTCGTCGTCGTCGTCGTCCATGCGCCGTCGTCGTCGTCGTCGTCGTCGTCGTCGTCGTCGTCGTCGTCGTCGTTGTCTTCGTCGTCGGCGGCCTTCTCGCCGCTTCTCCCCACGCCAGCGGCCGCCGCAGTCGTCGTCATCGTCGTCGTCGTCGTTGTCCATTCGTCGTCGTCGTCGTCGTCGTCCATTCGGCGTCGTCGTCGTCCATTCGCCGTCGTCGTCGTCGTCGCCGTTGTCGTCCATGCGCCGTCGTCGTCCATGCGCCGTCGTCGTCGTTGTCGTCGTCGTCGTCGTCCGTTTGTCGGCTTGCTGCCCGTGTAAGATTGTGCTCCGGCACACACGCACACGATCTTCACGGTTTGAGCGTGCTCCGCCGCCCGCTCCTTCCCCCCCCATCCGCGCTTCTCCTGCTCCGGTCGTGCTCAAGTTTGGCCCCGGAGCGCGCCGCGGCTGCTATCCGACCTCGTCTTGGACCCAAGCCGCCGCGAGAAGAAAGCATCCATAGGGAAACGAAGAGTGACATAAAAAGAAACACCCGGAGGTCCGCGCGGATTTCTCGGATCGGCGCTGGACCCCCCTCCCTGGCGCGCGGAGGCGCCGCCAGGGGGCCCAAGCGCCGATCCGAGAAATCTGCGCGGACCTCAGAGTTTTTCTGTTTACAGTCGGGGCCCTGAAGAAGGAACCCTTTTCGTTGTGGAGGGGCTCCGCGTTCCTTAAGTGTTTCGCAGCTTGCCTCAGGTTTTCCTTATGTTTTCGATCGGGAATCTAAGTTTAACTTGTGGAAAGAAGGGGCCTCGTTCCTTATTTTGGGTTCCTTAGGTCAAGGCCCCGACTGTATGTCATTCTTCGCTCGCCTGCAAGAAGAGAGCACCCAGCATCCAAGTCCGGAAGCCGAGCCGCAGGAGCTCAAGCGTGTGAGCTCCGGGGAGCCGCTGGCGGGCATCGACCTGGGCCGCTACCAGCTCGAGCAGCCCCAGGCGCGCCCCCCCCACAGGCGGCCCGCGTGGCCCGCGCCTCGGGGGTGCGCTCGCCCCTCGTTCTCCCCTTTGTCCCCCCTTCGTCGCCCTGCCTGCCCTTGCATCGAGGCTCTGCTCCTTCCTCATCCCTCCTCCTCCTCGTCCTTGTCGCCCTCCTCCTGCTCCAGCTCCTCCTCCTCCTCCTCCTCCTCCTCCTCCTCCTCCTCCTCCTTGTCCTCGTCGTCGTCGTCCTCCTCCTCCTCCTCCTCCTCCTCCTCCTCCTCTTCCTCCGCCCAGCTTATTTCGCAACGGGGGCCTCTTCACTCCACCCACCGCATGCGCTGTTCAGTTGCTGCCTTTTGTCGCTGCCGTGCTACAGGGAAGGATGGCTGCACCAGAGCTTACGAGTGTGTGCACTGGCGAGTGCGGGTTATTAGCCTACGAATCGCACGCATCCGCGAGTGAGTAACGGAGGTGCCCGCCCCTGCTGTAGTTCAGTCATCAATCGGATGAACTTCTCTTGAGCGATCCGCTCTCCTCCTTCTCCCTCCTTATAATTTCATCTTGGTTTCCTCTACCTCGTGGCCGCCAGCCACAATGGCACAGGCTTCTCTCTAGTGCACGGCTGACGGGTGCCACGCTCCACCACGTTCCGTGTCGCAAGCCAGCTGGTTGCCGATAAGGGGTGTCAGAGAAGGGCGATGTTGCTGATGATGGTGATGTTGATGATGCTGATGATGATGCTGATGCTGATGCTGATGCTGATGCTGATGCTGATGCTGATGCTGCTGATGATGATGATGATCCATGGTGGTGATAATGGTGTTGATGATTATGGTGATGATGATGATGATGACGACGATGATGATGATGATGATGATGATGCTGATGATGATGATGATTATTATGATGCTGCTGGTGATGATGATGATGATGATGGTGGTGGTGATGATGATGATGCTGCTGATCATGATGATGATGATGATGATGATGATGATGATGATGATGATGATGATGATGATGATGATGATGATGATGATGATGATGATGATGATGATGATGATGATGATGATGTGTGTTCATCAGTTTCACATGTCACCCACGACCTGCTGTTCCTTGCTGTTCCCTTCGTCCAGTTGTCTGCTTGCCACAAGGAAGGCCGCACCAGCACAGCAGCGCAGCAGGAAGGGGTTGGAGCTAAAGACACGTTCCAGATCAGTGCACTGTCCGAGTTGGCGCAGATCTTGAACATTCCCTCCATGTCCGCCGTGTCGCTCTCCCCCTCTTCTTTCATTTTGGAAGCTGTTTGGGGGCTTCTCTGGGGTCTCTTGGGGGCCTCCAGGGGGTCCGTTTGGGAGCCCGTTTGGGGGTCTCGGGGCCGTCGTGGGCGCGATGGTGCTACTGAGCTCTTCTTGAGTGGCTCGGTCGAACAGTCTTAAGAGCGTCCAGGCGCCGTCTCCAGCATCCGTGGGCGGTTCTCAAGCCATCCCAGGACCGTCTTGTTGGGGCTCCATTGGGAATTACCTAACAGCGAAGACTGATAGGTTTCTAGTAGGGTCAAAAGAGAGCATCATGACTCCCCAGGGGGGTCTGGGCAGATGCTGGACGGGTGCCGCGGAAAACCGGGGACTCCTTTTTTAGCCAACAGTAGCGCACTTCGTGGTCTTCGAGTTCCCAGAACTCCATTCCTGGGCATGATTTTGAATGCCCAGAGCCAACTGTAGGCCACTTCGTGATCTTCGAGTTCCCAGAACTCCATTCCTGGGCATGATTTTGAATGCCCGGAGCCAACTGTAGGCCACTTCGCGGTTTTCGAGTTCCCAGAACTCCATTCCTTGGCATGATTTTGAATGCCCGGAGCCAACTGTAGGCCACTTCGTGTTCTTCGAGTTCCCAGAACTCCATTCCCGGGCCACATTTTGAATGCTGAGCCAGGCTGATGCTGAGGCTGAGGCAGGCTGAGGCTGAGGCAGGCTGAGGCTGAGGCCGAGGCTGAAGGCAGACTGAGGCTGAGGCTGAAGCAGGCTGAGGCTGAGGCTGAGGCAGGCTGAGGCTGAGGCTGAGGCAGGCTGAGGCTGAGGCTGAGGCTGATGCAGGCTGAGGCTGAGGCAGGCTGAGGCTGAGGCCGAGGCTGAAGGCAAACTGAGGCTGAGGCTGAAGCAGGCTGAGGCTGAGGCTGAGGCTGAGGCAGGCTGAGGCTGAGGCTGAGGCAGGCTGAGGCTGAGGCAGGCTGAGGCTGAGGCTGAGGCTGATGCAGGCTGAGGCCGAGGCTGAAGGCATGGGAACCTGATCGTCGACACCAATCCTACTCCTCAACTCACCCCCTGTAGGAGCGACGAAAACGGTCCAAGCACTTATTTTCTATAGTTTTCTGTCGCGTTGGTTATTGCGTTTTTAAGGTGTTTCCATATGTTGATATCTTGAACTTTCACATAATATATAGTTATCGCACGCACGTGTAACAACTCATTTTACTTAATTCGTTGAAATCCTGTGTGTGAGAAACAATACGCGGAGGGATCGGGCCACTTTGTTGATCAGCTTCGGGGGTGTAGGGATAGTAATAATCATATTGAATAGTTGCAGAATCTGCGTTGGAAGGGGCAACAGAAAACACATTCACGTGCACCGCCCTTCACTTGGCATGTGTTCCGCCGTGCACTGGCTCAGGATTTTCATTTCTGTGTCACTTCGTCCACTGTGGGTGTTGCATGTCCAAGGCTTACAATGTTGCCGCAGAGCGTTGGCTCTCAGCAGCTGTGCCCGACCAGAGTGCGTCAGGGCACCCGTTCTGCAACATCTCTCCCGTCGCAGCAGAGCACGTTGTCTATGATATTATGGTGACAGAGGCTGGCTATTTGAATCCTTCTGACAGTTCGGACCTCTTGCGTACAATTTCGGCTGCTGTGTGCGAGGAGTGCAAAAAGAGCGATACAGGTGACCTGACTGTGTTTCACATATCATCGGTATTGAAGAAGATGTGCTGCATGATCATACACGAAAAAGAACTGATGCGTATTGACAGGGACACATGGGAGAAAAAACAACGTTTGGAAGCGGCCGTACCTCCAGCGCGGGTTGAACCAGCACGAGCAAGAAGGTTATGGAAAGTTCCACCATCGGGGAACCCTCCTGTACCGCCTCCACCTCCACCAGATCAAGCAGCGGTGCCACACAGCCGTTACGCCGAGCTACTTGCTGAGAATCGACTATTGAAAGTTAAATTGAACACTGCACGGCACGGCTGGCGTTACTGGAAAAGGAAAGCACAGGACCGCAACGAACAGCTTGCGAGGCATAAACAGGAAGTGGTTGACAAATATCATTATATGGTCGTACCCAAAAAGCGGAGGAAGAAACAAACACGGACGGGAAGATTTACCTGGAGGGGAGGGTATCGCATGGCTTTTCGGAGATTGCACGGACATTCGGCGGCGGCTGCACTCACAGTTGCCTTAGGGCTGCATGTGTCTGAACAAGTTGTGCCGAAGTGGGAGCGGTCACTTGGAATGAATATTCAACTACAGCAGCGCCTTTGGTACGAAGAACAGGAGACACGCATTGAACACGATCGTGGGTGCTTGGTTGATTCTGGTGGTCGACTGTTTTCATGGAACATTACTTCGGTGAGGGGTGACGCAACAAATACCGCAGTGCAACTATACAAAGCACATACATGCGAAGTTCTAACAGAATACCGCCATGTACCACTGAATGGAGATAAGCGCCCCCTCACAGTGTCATTGAAAGGATGGGCAGACTTGGCAAAAGTTCCAGATGACAACAATGGTAAGAGTCAATTGCAAATATACACAAAACAACTGCGCAGCATTGGGGTGCCAACTTGGACGGATAAGGTTGCATCATCAAAGAAGTGCTGGACATCCGACAGCGTGTTATCTGATGTTTTCCACATATCCATCTTCTTCTTCGGTTCGGACCAAGGTCCAGACCAAGTGGGATGCGACAAATTACTAGATGCAGCGATACTTGACGAACGACTCGTCTGGAAGTTTCGGAATTGGTGTTTCCAGCACTGCTTGCACTTGATGGTGAAGCGCCAGCTGACCGACTTAGGTAGTTATTGGAGCTCGCTGGCGAAAACGATTCACACGATCAGGACGCACCTGAAGTCCTTTCGCATCTTCTTGGACGGCGACGGGAAAGGAGACCTGCTGAAGCGAGCTCCGCAGAGGCCACTGCGGGGACGATGGGGGTCGGCAACGCTGAGCGAAGTCCACTTGCTCAAGATAGGCCAGACGACACTGGTTGATTGTTTTCAGAAGCTTCTTGATGCATCGGGCGCCAAGCGTAATCACGGCAGCCGCATTGAGCCCGAAGTTGACGAGGAGGAGAGTTTCTCGGACAAACGCCATCGGTATATACGGGAGGCGCTGGCAGCCCTGCGCAGCGACGAGTTCTGGTGCAAGATGGAGGCAGCACATCGATCCAGAGGACCAGCTGATCATTGCAGGTTTTGGTTGATGAAATGCATCGGGGGATCAACGCCAGATATCGGACGACCTTGCAGCTGCTGCGTACGGACACAACAACCAGGAACACTCCACCTATTGTTACCTTCGTTTGCAAACAGAGTCGAATATTTTTGAGGGAATGGATGGTGCTACTGGATGCAGAGTGGCCGCGTATTTCATGTGTGCAAGACCTCGGGGAGCGCGCATCCTACATGGGGATGGCAGCATTGCAAACTCTTGGCATGGCGTGTGATTACAACAGGCGGCTGCATGCGAGGACTCGTTGTTGGCCGTTTTGTCTTGCGTGGTTCGTTTATTCGCCCCATGAGCAGGACTGTCCCCGTCGGCGAGAGTTCGCGACGCAATTGCTTCGCTTGCAAAATGATGGCGACAATGTGGACATAACAACATTCAAGATCCGTTGGGTATTCAAGTTCGAGATTGAACACGCGAGAGACTTCGGAACACTCGACAAGAACATATGGGATCTGCTACACAGCCTTTTCAGACTTTGGAGTTTGGATACGCAAGAAATTGAAGGAATCAACAACACAATTAAACATATCATGAGCATTGGACCGTACACAGCTTGGGAATTGCTGAGCGCCCGAACTATGGCCAGAAAGTTCTTGTGTTGGTATGGTGATGGCACGGACGAGTTTGAGGATTACTTCCTGGATCTATGTGTGGCAAATCACCTAGCAGTGCAGGCTGAATCCACGGCCGAGAAGTTGAAGGCTGAAGGTACTCGGCGCTTCGACATTGTTCAGCGCGGCGGCGACGAGGCGGCCGTTGCAGCTCCTCCCCCTGAGTGGCTCCCAGAAGCGACATACAAGGCGAGCGCCGCCAAAGCTGGGGCCACGAAGCTCATCACCAAACTGAAGAAACTCTGGGCTGATCAAGTGCCGATCGGTTTTATTCCAAACTATCAGTATGCTGTGCGAATTACGTCTAGGGGTTCACCAGATGTGGATTGGAAGGAACAGGCAGTGTTGATTATTTGTTTGTCGTTCCGAGGGTGTATGTACGTTTGTGCTTGCGATACTGTTGAATCTGATGCAGGAAGGATGTTTGTTCAGACAAGGAATGACTCAGATATGTTTATGTCGCTGTTGTCGGCGGTGTCTTTCATCTACCAGGATTGGAAGGATGCCAAGTCTGAAGGAAGGTATTACGACGCCATGTTTTCTTTCTTGGGGTTGAATTGGAGCGAAACAACAGTTCGAATGGCCTCCGTTGAACTCGAGGAAGTCCTTTTCACGATCAGTGGTATGAAGTGGCGGGAGGGGAAAAATATTGAGCCAGCGCAGCCTCAGCCTGACCAGCCTGGTGACCACGGTGGCCAGCCTCCTGAGCCTCCTCCTGGCGATTTGGATGAGCATCGTGATCTTGATGATGAAGAGCTTCGCCTACTTCGGGATGATGCAGGTGCTCAGGCTTTCTATGCCCAGGACGACGGCGATGGTCCATCGGGGGACGGGGCAGACGATCCAGACGGTCGCAGGGCAAACCTTGAACCCACAAGAGCTCACAAGAACTCCAGGGGACTCCAGAGAACTCCAGAGGACCCCAGAGAACCAGAGAACTCCAGAGGACCCCAGAGGACTCCAGAGGACCCCAGAGAACCAGAGAACTCCAGAGGACTCCAGAGGACTCCAGAGGGGAGGGAGAAGGGAGGGAGGGAGGGTGACGTTTCAGAGGACTTTCTCAGGACCCAGGATCCCAGGATGCTTTTCAGACGACTTTCAATTCCAGAGGGCCCAGGAGGAAGGCTTGGTTTGTTCCCATAAAGGCGGGGCCAAGCAGCTCCACGCTGATCTTAAGGTCTGGGCAACCAAAGCTGGTATCCTGAAGGAAGCGCTCGCAGCAGTCGAGGCTGATCCCAGCATGCATGACGAGGAGAAGCTTGCAGAGGCAGTGCGTGGTTTGGAAGGGCTTGAACAATCTCTTGGCCTCGGTCTTCGTACTGACCCACCCGCACCAGCGCCACCACCGAGTACTGGGGCCAGTGCACTTGATTTGTTGATCGAGCATTGGGCGCCAGGAGTCATCACTACTCTAGAAGCTTTCCAGGAGGTGTCTAACCCAGTCAATCTCATACCAGAATCAGCAATGGTGTGTTTGATTGAGAGGCTGCTGCACGCAAGCGAGCACGACGGCGGCAACGAGTATGCGGTCGAGTGGTGGAGGGTCGATGAATGGAACGCTGATCTGCCCGTGCTGAAGGCCAGGCCATGCCCTGTCGATAAGAGGGGCTGTCTGTCATATGTTACACCTGATCAAAAGAAAGATTTGTCCGATGCACTTTCTCGAGGGGATGTTCGACTGCTTATACCGAATACACGACACCGCATCATCAGGAACAAGGATATGTGGCATGCACCCGAGCCCCACCTTCGTGTGCTACGCAACTTTCATCTTGCCCGCCTTGAGGCGGCAGCTGGTGCACTTACAGAGCTGGGACAATGTTGCGTGTGCCACCACGAGTGCGACGAATGTGTATGTCCTTTGTGTGGTACTCGTTCACATCCTGATTGTATGGGTGACTTATTTCTTGGTGTGTCAATACATGAGTTTTGGTTTACCCACGTATGCACTGGCACCGCAGATAACGTTGCTCACCGAGGTGCACTATTGTCTCATTTCAAGGCAGAGCAATCTATCAGCAAGGATTTGCGGCTGTTTGTTGGCTGCTTATGCGTGGCCTGTGCTTTACTTGCAAACGCAGAGAATGACATGTGAGTACACGTGCATTGTTGCATTTCAACAGGATAAAAAGCATGTTGACCCAGAATTGTGTCATCGGTTCCCCATGTCCTGATAAGAGTCACATTGGGCTCCATGAGACCTTGGAGGCACCTTTTGAGACCGTCTTGGAGACCTTATTGGGGCTATGTTGGGCTCTCGTGGGGTCATCTTGGCAATCGTGGGCGCATCTTGGAGGCCATCTTGGGCTCCCGTCTCCTCATTCTGGGCACTCCCACCTCTTCCGGATCCCTCATACTGTCTTATTTTTAGGTGTCTTCCTCGAGCTCGGAACGGTCGAGATTTCAGACAGGTCGAGCCACCGCGAGACCCCCCACTAGGGACTTGGAGGCGAGTGGGGGGGGTCACTAGGGACTTGGAGGGTAGTGGCCCCTGTCACTAGTGAGATATCACTAGTCACCCCCCCGCCACTAGTGAGATATCACTAGTGACAGGGGCCACTACCCTCCAAGTCCCTAGTGACCCCCCCCACTCGCCTCCAAGTCCCTAGTGACCCCTCCCCGAGATGATTTCACAGGGTGGTTCCAGTCAGGCTTCGGAACCGAATTTGCGACCCCAGGCACAACAAAAACAGTGTTTTGAACAAGAGGTTGCTGGTTTATTCCAGGGGGTGAGGACACATACACACGAGGTACTTGCATACATATGGATGGGGAGAAGACGAGGAGGTGAGATTTTTGTTGCGAACAGAACACGGTCACTATTGCTAGACATCATTTCCCATAGCCGTTACCAAGCATCAAAGTCTGACTCAGACTCGGTTGAATTTGCCAGCTTGGCACTGCGGCTTCTTCACGGCAGGGTACCTGATGTCGGGAGTCCGCGGGGGCGGGCTCGCACGTGCTACTGCTGCTTTGAAAGGTGGGTCAAAAGATACTGATTCTCAGAATTCTCCTCCTGTTGAAACTGATCACAGCCCAGCCAAGTTCAAGAAATGGAGCAGTGCCTCTTCGGCGTCTGCGAGATATGGTGGAGCGGTTGGGCGAGTGCTCGATGATCGCGTGAATGAAGACTACATTGATCAAGAAGGCGTGTGGCTGGAACTCTTCGACAAAGACGGCAAACCACTTCTCTCAAGACACGAACTCAACAATCGGAATCAGGTTGACACGCGTGCCAAATACAAAGCAGTGGTGCTGAGTATCGGTTACAAACCGCGCTCGAGGAACGAGATGATTGCAGTACCAACTGATAAAGGTAGTAATCATTATTGGATTCTCTCGGGCGCCCACCTGGTCGAGGCGATATACGACGCCTGTTCAGAAGATCCTACTAACAAGCAAGTGAGGGCGTCCATCAAGGGCGGAGTGAAGGCGTCAGTCTTGGACTACAGGACGCCAGCGGATATTCTAGAACACTTCAAAGAAGATGGCAACGCACTCAATCACATGTCTGGTCAGATTGCGTGGACCGAGATTATCGCCGACTGCCCCCGCATCCAAGACAAGTGGAAGGCCGATCGGAAAGTCACAGTGGGCGGCCAGGCCGAGTCTGACGATGCAGATGTCCCTTGTGAACAGGACGATGATCAACATGCCAAGCGCGGCAAGAAAAAGTTTGATAACAAGCAGTATGAGAATGACTACTCCACGTTCCTGTCCAAGCATTTCCCTGGCTACTTCCCGAGAGGCTTCAACCAGTTTGACATGTGCAGGCGTTGCTCCAACAAACTGAAGGACCATCCTGATCTATGGAATGAGCTTCGCCATTACTGCGACCAGCACTGCGTGTACTCGGAGCCCAAGTTGATCAACGCGGATGTCTGGTACCTGCTCGACAAACTCATGGGCAAGCTCGAGGATCATGGGCTGTGGGACTACTTGGTTACCATATTCAAGTATTGCATTCCGACGAACGATGGGACGGCGTGGCTTGTGAAAGAGAGGAAGGATTGGGGCAAGCTTCTCGCTTTGTTTGTTCCGATGTCCACTGGGGCAGCAAAGCCAGGCGACAAGATCAAGGTTGCCAAGCTTGCAGAGAAGGCTGCTCAGAAGAAAACATTCAAGCTCAAGGTGCTCTCGAAGAAACAAATGGAAGCCACCATGACCACGAAAGTCAAAGGTAAAAAGAGTAAGAAGGCCTCCAAAGCTGCCCCTGCGCCCAAGGACAAGAGCGACGCCTTTTCCGAGTATTGGGTCGGTGGGGGCTCAGGCAACATTCTTGTATTGGAAGAGATCTTGGGCACGATCGAGTATGCGGTAGATGACATTGTTGAAGATGCGCATTGCAACCAAGATTTCATGTGGCAGTGCTTGGACTTGGGCATCGTCTGGGTCTTGCAAGGTGGCACAGTGTTTGTTCCACCACTGGCGGATCAGCGAAAGAAGATCGATGAGTGCACTGACCCAACGAAGAAGGTCCGCTTGGAGAAACAGCTTCAGAAGACGTGCTGGTCTGGATTGAAAAAACACATATGTATGCTGCTTTGGGAATTTCACCAGCATGCACCACGTAAGGATATGGAGGAGGTGCTCGGCCCGAGCCCAGCAGAAGTGGTTGACATGCCCACCAGCGCCCCAGAGGTCCTCTTCAATGAGAAGACGCTCCCCGACGGCATCAAGACAGACCAGTTGAAGGAAGCAGTTGGCATGGTCACACAGGAGTCCCTGAAGATCTACAGCAACTTCTTCACGCAGAACAGGCTGGAGAATGTATCTCGGCAGGTTGCGGCTCGTTCGCCTTTGGTTTTCAAGATGAGGCAGCCTGCTCTCCATACCATGTCTTCAAACTTGCTGGAGCTCGTGACGGGTGCAGACCTGCAGACGGCTGATGTCACTTCGGTTATCGACATGGTGGGAACTGCGGTCTTCCGTTCGTTTCCTGAGGACATGCTGCATTTCATGACGCGTCTACTTGATGCATGTGGAGATGATGAGTCTGTATACGGGAAGCTATCTTCCGCAGGTAAGCTGGGCGATGATCTTTCATATCCGATTCGATGCCAATTTGAATTTCCCAGGGAACTTCACACCCCAAACAACGATTCGAAACTTGCGAGGGGAAGGGGCGGGGAACAAGGACTCCCAGGGACCGAGAACTTTTCAGGGGGCGAGTTGGCGAGTTGGATGTGGAAGTCATTTCAGCCCTGCGCTAGGTGCCGCAGTACTGGATCAAGCCTTGGCGATTTGGCCGACTATTTCAGATTTGAGGCTGGCGATTGCTCTCCGTGGGATCTACACAAGTGTTCTGCTGAGGGAAGTACCTGATATCATCGCAGTGGCTCTCGAAGGCTCGAAGAGCGACGCAGGTAACTGTCAAGAGGTTGCAATCGAGACCAACATCTTCAATGAGTTTACCATTGCTAAAGGCGTATTGGTCAAAATCACCGACATCGCGAGCATGGTGGAGTCCAGGGCAGTTGACCAGTCCGCGTGGGTGTCTGTATGGACGAAGGTGGTCACTGATGTGGCGAACTACTTCAAGCTTCCGAAATCTTCAACCCAGCTTCGTGACATGAAGCAAGACTGGGCAACACAATTGGATGAGGAGTGCAACAAGACCGAGGTGATTAATAGAGCAAGGTTGATGGGCTGGAAGGGCAACGTGAAGGATTCCAAGCAGGACATCATCAAGTACCTTGTTGAAAAGAGGGCCGCTGATGAGAATAAGAAGGAGATGGAGGACGACGAGTCTGGCCGCAAGAAGTTCATGGATATTCTCCTTGAGGTTATTGGTGGCAGTGGCAGCGGTCCTGATGCGCCCCCGCCGCAGCCGATCGGAGATGCCAAAGTACAAGTAGCTGATGGGCCCACGCTCGATAACTTGAACTTCGCACCCGTGAAGGTGAACCCCAATGCAATTGAATACGATGTCAAGGCACTTGGAGATTTGTGTACGCTCGAGCTCATGAAGTTGCGGCACGTCGACGAAGGCATCTCCATGATCAAGCACAGGATTCATGCACGACCCGATGGTGATTCTATATCGTCCAAGATGTACTGCAACTTCCCATCTGGTGCTGGTACGACTTTGAAGCTCCACTTCATTGGGAAAGTTTCTCTCTTGAAATACGGGGTGCTTCCTTCGAGCAGGTACGTCATGAAGCTCGGCACGGTGAAGATCCCCGAGGGTTCTGGCGCAGTGTTCACTGCGTGGGGAACGCCGACGACGGGCATGACAAAGTCGATCGATCCCGAGTTCGTGCCAGCTTGGGGCGTGACCAGGTTGCCGTTGCTCAATGAGAAGCTTGGCACTGAGAACGTTCCTAGCCTCAAGCTGGCCTTCCATGATGTTCATATTCCAGCCTGCACTGCAGGCTACAGCACACCAGCCATCACTCTTTCTGTGCCGTCCCTGGTTGTGAATGAGCGTATCTTCGAGATGGAGATGGGGCCGTGGACTGAGCTCACCAGGCTCGAGTTCACTGAGGAGAAGCAGGTGAAGGTCGCGGCAGGTGCTGGCGCGAGCTTGCGCAAGCGCACGCTCAAGCTCGGCGACAGCGACGATGCGCACGCCGAGCAGGTGCTCAAGCTGGCCAAGAGGGCGGCCGCCTAGCAGGCCGGCGGGCCGCCCGCCCGTGGGCCAGCCGCCAGTAGCCAGTAGGAGGAGGAAGGAGGAGGAGGAGGATGAAGGAGGAGGAGGAGGAGGAGAGGAGGAGGGAGGAGGTGAAGGGGAGGCGCTCACTTGAACCAAAATGGCCACGGAGAGAAAGATGAGGATGAGGAGGAGAGGAGGAGGAGGAGGAGGAGGAGGAGGAGGAGGAGGAGGAGGAGGAGGAGGAGGAGGAGGAGGAGGAGGAGGAGGAGGAGGAGGAGGAGGAGGAGTAGGAGGGCGAGGGGGAGGAGGAGGAAGAAGAGGATGAGGAAACGGAAGAGGGAGGAATGGAAGTAAGGCTTCTTTTGACTTGCGTTGTGCTGCGTTGTGTTCCCGCTGGGCCCCCACTTCTTTTAGATTCCTGAGGCCTCTTGATACTGCCCTGCAGCGCCCTGCAGGAGGTCTCAGGTCTTAGATTTTGCCTGGGGGGCCCAGCGGAGGAGGCCGAGGAGGCCGCGAGGCGCACGGTCGAGCGCGGGATGGGGCCGCTCGAGGCGCGGGGAAAGCCCGCCTCCCTCCTCCTCCGCTTCCTCCCCCACCTCTGCTTCCTTCACCTCCTCCCCTCCCTCCGCTTCCTCCTCCTCCTCCTCCTCTCCTCCTCCTCCTCCTCCCTCCTCCTCCTCCTCCTCCTCCTCCTCCTCCTCCTCCTCCTCCTCCTCCTCCCTCCTCCTCCTCTTTCTCCTCCTCCTCCTTGGGGGGGTCCTAGGGTCGAAGATGCGCCGCTTGAGGAGTTAGCAGTAGCAGTAGTAGTAGTCATAGTAGTAGTAGTAGAAGTACTAGTAGAACCGAGTTCAAATATTGCGAAAGAAGCCTCATGGCCGCCATGGCTCTCCTTGCTGCTGCTGCGCGCTGTGCACTGCGTGCTGCTTCGCTGGGCTGGCTTCCTCACTCTGTCCCCTCCTCCTCCTACTCAACTTCCTCCCTCCCACCTCCCCTTCCGCCCTGCTCCTGGCCCCTTTCCTCCCTCCCTCCCTCACCCCTTTCATCGCAATTGTTGCTTAAACTACCTCCACCACTTCCTCCTTCTCCTCCGATTCCTCGTCCTCCTCCTCCTTTTCCTCCTCCTTCCTCCTGCTCCTCCTCCTTCTTCCTCCTCACCACTCCCGCCCGTCGCCATTTTGGCTCAAACCAGCGCTCGCAGCGCTTTCACTTTCTGGATGTTCCGTTTGTTGGGGAGCTCACTCTCGCTTGATTTCCTATGTTTGCGCGCGGGTCGCCGCGCAGAAAAGCCAGAATATCAATTTCCTGGCCCGCTTCGCAACGCTCGAAAACGGCTGCATGCGTTGGAAAACGCTGCTCCACACAGATCCAACCGAGGAGTCGTTTGAGTGCTGTTGGTTAGGTTCCCACTGAAGGCAGACTGAGGCTGAGGCTGAAGCAGGCTGAGGCTGAGGCAGAGGCAGGCTGAGGCTGAGGCTGAGGCAGGCTGATTCTGAGGCAGGCTGAGGCTGAGGCTGAGGCTCATGCAGGCTGGGGCTGAGGCAGGCGGAGGCCGAGGCCGAGGCTGAAGGCAGACTGATGCTGAGGCTGAAGCAGGCTGAGGCTGAGGAAGAGGCAGGCTGAGGCTGAGGCTGAGGCAGGCTGATGCTGAGGTAGGCTGAGGCTGAGGCTGAGGCTGATGCAGGTTCAGGCTGAGGCAGGCTGATGCTGAGGCCGAGGCTGAAGGCAGACTGAGGCTGAGGCTGAAGCAGGCTGAGTCTGAGGCTGAAGCAGGCTGAGGCTGAGGCTGAGGCTGAGGCAGGCTGAGGCTGAGGCAGGCTGAGGCTGAGGCTGAGGCTCATGCAGGCTGAGGCTGAGGCAGGCGGAGGCCGAGGCCGAGGCTGAAGGCAGACTGAGGCTGAGGCTGAAGCAGGCTGAGGCTGAGGCTGAGGCAGGCTGAGGCTGAGGCTGAGGGCTGAGGCTGAGGCTGAGGCTGAGGCTGAGGCTGGCTGAGGCTGAGGCTGAGCTGAGGCTGAGGCTGAGGCTGAGGCTGATGCAGGCTGAGGCTGAGGCAGGCTGAGGCTGAGGCGAGGCTGAAGGCAGACTGAGGCTGAGGCTGAAGCAGGCTGAGGCTGAGGCTGAGGCAGGCTGAGGCTGAGGCAGGCTGAGGCTGAGGCTGAGGCTGAGGCTGAGGCTGAGGCTGAGGCTGGGCTGAGGCTGAGGCTGAGGCTGAGGCTGAGGCTGAGGCAGGCTGAGGCTGACTGAGGCTGAGGCTGAGGCTGAGGCTGAGCTGAGGCTGAGGCAGGCTGAGGCTGACGCAGGCTGAGGCTGAGGCCGAGGCCGACGGCAGACTGAGGCTGAGGCTGAAGCAGGCTAAGGCTGAGGCAGAGGCAGGCTGAGGCTGAGGCTGAGGCAGGCTGATGCTGAGGCAGGCTGAGGCTGAGGCTGAGGCTGATGCAGGCTGAGGCTGAGGCCGAGGCTGAAGGCAGACTCATGCTGAGGCTGAAGCAGGCTGAGGGGGAGGCTGAGGCAGGCTGAGGCTGAGGCAGGCTGAGGCTGAGGCTGAGGCAGGCTGAGGCTGAGGCCGAGGCAGGTTGAGGCTGAGGCTGCGACTGCGACTGCTTTGCCACTGCGACTGACATCGCGAATGCGACTACGACTGCGAGAACAGCATAATTCTACAACTGGATTCTCATCTGAATCTTAAGGGGAATGCTTCCAGATATGCTCCTACACATCGCTGTTAGGTTGCTTTGCCGGGATAATTTATTGAGCCGTCCGGGGGGGACTTCAACTGAACCGGAGAGCTTTGGAAGCAAAACGTGTAGTTTGCCATTGTTTTCAAACATATCTTTCATCCGGAGGGCCTTGCTAGAGGCTTCTTTCGACTGCTCTTGGATGCCTCAGTGGCATGTTGGGAATATGCTGGAGCCTCCTGGAGATGGTTGGGCCGTCTTGGACCATCTATGGTGCCCTCTCTGGGAGTGTTTGATTGTGCATCCATCTCGTACCAGTTCAGAAATCAAGTGGCTTGAGCTGCGCCTGAGAGTTGTTTTTGCCTGCTCGCTTCCTTGCTCGCTCTGGGTGCGGGGGCGAAGAACAAACACACCAGCAGGTGAATGCACACATCTTGCGGACGAGGAAACAAGCTATGAGCATGAGGATTCTGAGTTTGAGTGGAAGTTTGAGGAGGATGAGCATGGGCGTCCTTCTTGCCCCTCTCGAAGCGTAACCCCCCGCCAGGGCCAGCTGGCGCAAGACCACGGTGCCTGGCGGAAGGCAGCAGAGGCGGCGCACATGCAGCTGGAGTACAATCGTCTCAGGCGCGACGTTTACGGGGCTCGTGAGAAGCCTCTTGAGCAGCATCGAGCGGTCTCCACGCTTGTTATCATTGGTATCGCCACCGTCACGACATCTTATGGCCCTTGTTGTCGTCAGTGCAAGCGTTAGCGGTCGTCTTCCATCATGTTACGAGCACCGTTATCCGATTGCTATCACTACAATGCGGCGCTTGGTTCCCATGCCCCAGCAGACGCTCTCATCATACATATCACCGTTGTCCAGGACAGAAGAAGTTTCCATGTGTTGTGCAACTCCCTTCTCTATTGCAGTGGCCTTCGGCCAGTGCCGCCGATCCGGGTCGCTTGGGGTGCCCCCCAGACTGGGCGGCGACACTGCGCCGACAGACACGCACGCACACGCTCGCAGACAATACGCGCACACACGCACACACACACACACACGCACACACACGCACACACACACGCACACACACAGACACACACACACACACACGCACACACAGATACACACACGCACGCACGCACACGCACACGCACACACGCACACACACACACACCCACACACCCACACACCCACAAACCCACACACCCACACCCACACCCACATCCACACCCACACACACACGCACACGCACACGCACACACGCGCACACACACACGCACACGCACACGCACACACACACACACACACGCACACGCACACGCACACGCACACACGTACACACACTACACACACCCACTGACACACACACACACACCCCTCATTCACACACGTGCGCCACCTTCGCAGGCGCATACACCCGCACACGCCGGCAACACACACATGCACACATACACACACCACGCGCACCGCACGAACACACACACACACACACCACACAACAAACACGAATTTCACCACCACCTTCGTATTCCCCACCCCATTTGTTCCCCGTTTTCCGCTCTTGCCCCGTTCCACTTCTCTCTCCCCCTTTCCCCGATTCCTTTTTCGCGTTCGCGGACAAACATTATACCCCGCGCACACACGCGCACGCACACCCTTCCCCTCCTTCCCTGGCAGAGCCCCCCCGGCCCCCCCCCAAGACGCTGAAGCTCAGCCTCGAGGCTGTATACATAGCTGAGCTTCCTTCAAACTCGCACGCCACAAAAAAAACGTTCCCTTCCCCCACCATCGGAGCCCACGCCACCGGACCCCCCCCTCTTTGCCCAATTCTTCCTGTCCGCAAGCGGGGCGGGGGACTGGACCCCCACCCTTCTCCACGCCACTGGAACCGTACGCCACTGGACCCCCTTCCCCCCTTCCCCTACCCCGGCATGCCACCCTGGCCGCCGGACCCCCGCCCCCTAAGATCTTTCCTCTTTTCCCCTAGTCCACAGGCTGGACGGGGGACCGGACCCCCCCCACGCCACTGTAACCCACGCCTCCAGACCCCCTTGTCCGCCTGCCCCGGCAGAGCCACCCCGGTCATCCCTTCCCCTTGAAACTCACACGCCGGATCGGCGGATCTTAAGAGTATGTACCGCATTTTGAGGGCACGAATATCACTATCACTATCGTCAGACCCGTTCCCGCTGTGGCAGAAGCTGCTGTCCAGCCGGATACCTTCGCCCCCGTCCGACGGCCGCCTTGATTGGTTGAGGGAGGCATTCCCATGTGAACACCCGCTGCTCCCCCCTCCCCCAGCCAAGGAGGAGCATTAAGAGTGGATGGGTGAAGGACTTTTGTCTCCCTGCAGGCCCTCATCCTCCCCCGCCGAAGGAGGAGTAGGAGCAGGAGTAGGAGTAAGAGTAGGAGGAGGAAGAGGAGGACGAGGAGGAGGATGATGAGGAGGAGGACCAGTGTAAACCCAAGACTTCAGAATCATGTTGCAGTATGCCCTCCCTCCAAGTTCCCTCCTCATAGGTCCCTACAAAGACTCATTCTCACTGCGGGAAGTGGCCCGTTGGAAGACAACCGTTTGAAAATCTGAACACGCGCCAGAACACCATGCCTGGGACTTCAATGCCGCGAGTCAACATCACGATTGCGTCCTGACGATCCAGAATCGCGCCAGAACGCCATTCGCGGGACGTCAACGGCCCAAATCAACGTGACTGTCGCGTCCTGACGATCAGGAAACGTGCCAACACATCGTCTCTGCGACGTCAGCCGTGAGAATCTTTGAATTTGCTGAGAAAGGTTCAGATGAATGCGCGTATTGTGAAAAGAGTCCGTCCTCCGTCCGTCAAGCTGTTGCAAACTTTTGAGAAGGATGTGCGCAACGCTAAGGCGAGAGCCAGATTTCGAACAGGTACCGCCCTCCATCCGCGAAGCTGTTGCCAACTTTTAAAGCGGATGTGCGCGGCGCTAAGGCGAGAGCCACATTTTGAACAGGTACCGCCCTGCATCCGTGAAGGTGTTGCGAATTGTTCAAACGGCGGTTCGCGGCGCTTACGCGAGAGCCACATTTCAAAACCCCCCGCCTTCCGTCCTTGAAGCTGTTGCAAACTTTTACACGGATGTGCGCGGCGTTGAGGCGAGAGCCACATTTCGAAAAGATACCGCCTTCATCCGTGAAGCTGTTGCGGATTTGTAACACGGATGTGCGCGGCGCACCCGTGGAACGCTCCACATATTTGACACGAATGTGCGCGGCGCTAAGGCGAGAACCACATTTTGAAAACCGCGCCCCCTCCATCCGCGAAGCTGTTGCAAATTTGTAGGAGTCAGGATCATAAGGGGTGACGCCTGGCCCGCCCTACCGAACGGTCACGGGGTGCGACAGGGAGGAGTTATCTATAAACAAGAGGCATGGAGGAGGAGGAGGAGGAGGAGGAGGAGGAGGAACATCAGGAGGGGGAGGAGGTGGAGGGTGCGGGGAGGAGGGTGGGTGGGTGAGGCAAGTTGTCCAGCAGGGAACTGGAACAGGTGGGCGGAGGACAAGCGTCTCTGCGATACCCGGAGTGCTTCGGAGCGTTGCTTTAGGGTTGTCTTAAGTACGCTTCTCGACCTCAGAATTGAAAGGTGTCAAGCGTGTAAGAAGGCCAGAATCGCCCGAACTCGAAACGTGAAAAGCGGAAGCTTTATTCGCACCTAAGTCGGACCTCGACATTGAAGATGTTTCGCGCTCTGATGATTGGAGGTCTGCGTTTTTTCCTCAATGTGCTGAGTTCGGACTTGGGTAATACGCTTCTACGCATGGCCCATCTCTAGATCTTCCGAGGGGAGCTGATACTCGAGGGTCAATCACATTTGGGTTTCATTACCTTCTTGGTGTATTCTCTCACATCATCGCAGGGCCAGCTGCAAGGAGAAGTCATCGAATCCAATGAGCGCACGCTTCGAGGCCGGCCACGTCTTCAGGGCTCCAAGTGTTGCTTTTGACACGCAGAGGGAATTCGAGGGCGGTTGTGCTCCTTTGCTCCGAGCCTCCGCAGCCAAGAGGCCGTGCTTTTTATCAGGCAATACATGGGTACGCCACGCGACAGGTTTGGGGAATACGCACAGTGATCCCGACATGCAGGCGCTGCCGCGGGAACGCGTCTATCTGCCCTTGGTGGGCGGCGCTGCTACTCACAGTCGTAGTGCTTGCGTTGCGTCTGGTTTCTCAGGCAGTGGAGGTACTAGCATCAGTGGCATCGGCATCAGTAGTGCCATGAGCAGTAGAAGAAGCAGCTTCTGCAGCAGCAGTGCCAGGAACATCAGCAAGCGCAGTGGTGGTGCGTTGCCGCTGCTTCTTCTGCTCTTCCTGCTTCTCCTGCTCCTGCTCCTTACCGTGCTGCTGCCACTGCTGGTCCCCCTGCCGCCCGCGAGGCTCACCAACCTGGAGATGCTGGAGCGGCGGGCGGGTTCTGCCTTTTGCGCAGCGGCACTTGGAAACGTGAGGAAGACGAGGAGGAAGCGGAGGGCAAAGATGAGCGAGACGGAGGAGGAGGAGGAGGAGGGAAATGATAATGAGGATGAGGAGGACGAGGAGGAGGAGGAGGAAGACCCGGGTAAACCCGAGACTCATCAACGATGTTGGAATACACCTCCGTCCAAGCTCCCTCTTCATAGGCCCCCACAAGGGTTCACTTCCACTGAGGGACTTGCCCCGTACGGGCGCAACTGTCTGAAAATCTTGATGCGTGCCAACACACCGTTCTCAGGAGTCCAACGCCACGAATTAACCTGACTGGTACGTCTTGGCGATCCTGAATCGCGCCAGAGCATCATTCCTGGGACCTCAACACCGCGAATCAGTGTAAATGTTGCGCCCTGACAATCCAGAATCAATCCAGAACAGCATTTCTGGTACGTTAGCAATGAGGAATCATGCCACTCTCTGCGAACTTTTACAGCGGATGTGTGCGGCGCGAAGGCGAGAGCCGCATTTTGAAAACGAACCGCCCTCAATCCGTGGAACTCTTGTTGCAAATTGAAAGAAACGAATGTGTGCGGCGCTAAGGTGGGAGCCACAGTTTGAAAACGGACCACCCTCAATCCGTGGAGCTCTTGCAAATTGGAAGCCCTCAGTCCGTTGAATTGTTGCAAATGTCTGGCACGAATGTGCGCGGCACTAAGGCGAAAAACACATTTTGGAAACGACCTGCCCTCAACCCGTGGAGCTCTTGCAAATGAATGCTTTAAACGAATGTGCGCGTCGCTACGGCGAGAGCCACATCTTGAAAATCGCCCGCCCTCCATCTGTGAAGCTGTTGCTAATTTCTAAGCCGCAGGCGGAACGCACAGCCCGCCCTTTCGATTAGCCCCGGGGTGCGACAGGGAGGAGTTATTGATAAGGGAAAAGAGTGGACAAATAAGGCATGGGAAGGATGATGTTGCCCGTGATAGCGATTACGAGTACGGCTACCCCGATAATCACAACGATGGGGGACGGTGACAGCGAAAGGAAGGACGTACACAAGGGGGCCCCTAAGGATCTTACGATCCGCAGCACCCCGGATCCTCACAACTCAGATCCGGCCGAGGAGAAGTCTCTGCGCCCACGGTCGGGTGGACCTAGCTCTGGCGGAACGGCGGATGGTCCCGGATTATTGAGCGCAGCCGTCACCGTCTGCAGCTTCGCGCCGGCTGCCGTCTCGTGCAGCCGCTCTTTTCGTCGTGGGGCTGGCCGCAGCCGCAACCTCAATCGCAGTTGCAGCCGCAGCCGCAGCCGCAACCCGAGTAGTCCCACTTGGCCTCGACAGGCCCCCCCCTGCAGACCGGGGCGGTCTCAACAGTTCAAGCCTGGGGCGCAGAGCGCCCGAGGGTCGCCGCCAGAGACAGCGCCAGGGTGGTGAGAACGCCCCGGACTACTCGGGGGGCCCTTTGAGGCCAGCTGGGACTACCTGGGGGGGCTGTCTGAACGCAACTCGAGGTCGTACTACCGTCGGAGGTGTGGATCCAGCTCGCGGGCCCGCCGCTGCACAGCGGCCAACCTGAGGCGCCAGGATGTGCGGCGGTTTCGCGCCGTCGATATCCTCGGGCGGCTTCCGGGCGCGGCCGCCTTGGCGGGAGCCCGCGGACAGGAGCTCGCGGGGAGCAGCCCGGCGCGCTGCAGCACAATGGTGGCAGACCCAGCTTTCTTTGTTCGATATTTCCCAGAAGCCTCCTGTGTGTTGGGCCTTCGTTTTAAATTCGCAGCGCTGTGCGTCCCCTCCTTCCTCCCTTCCTTTCTCCCCTCCTTCCTCCTCTCCTTCTGCTCCTCCTCCTCCTCCTCCTCCTCATCTTCATCTTTGTCATTAATGTTATCCTCATCGCCGTCATCATCGTCGTCGTCAGCATCCTCGCCTTCATCTTCTTTACCACCATCATCATCATTCACCCCCTGTGTGTTGTGTCCTTGTTTTGAATTCGCAGCGCCGTGCCCCACATCCGTTTCCTCCTCCCCTTCCTCTACTCTCCTCTGCCTCCTCATCCTTGTCGTCATCCTTATGATGATGCTGTTGCTGCTGATCGTCGTCGTCGTCGTCGGCGTCGTTACCATCATCATCATCATCATCATCATCATCATCATCATCATCATCATCATCATCATCATCATCATCATTATCACCACCACCACCTGCTCCACTCTCCTCTTCTGCCACCACCACCACCATCTTTCTCCTGACTATCACCCTCCTCTCCTCTCTTCTGCCTCCTTATCCTTGTCGTCATCATCATCAGCATCAGCATCATCACCAACATCAGCATAATCATGCTCAGCATCATATGCTTCATCATCACCACCACCATCACCATCACCACCACCATCATCACCATCAACATCATCATACTCATCACCATCATCAGTATCGGCATCAGTATCGGCATCATCAGCAGCATCATCATCACCATCATCATCAGTACTGTTAGTATGACTATCAGTGTTGTTATTACCACCATCAGTCTTGCTACTACTAGTGGTATTATAAGTTTCACGGTTCCTTCATTTAACATCACCAGTCATATTGTTGTTACCGCCATCATAATATTTATCAGCATCGCCATCGTCCTCATCTCCAGCATTATCAGCATAACCATCATCATCATCATCATCATCATCATCATCATCATCATCATCATCATCATCGTCATCGTCATCATCAGCAGCATCATCATCAGCATCAGCATCATCACCACCACGACCATCGTCGTCTTTCGCATCATCTATCTTCATATTCATTACCACCCTCATCATTATCATCACAGTTATGGCGCATCCCTCACACGTTTCGTGGACCCATCGGGATCTTGACCGAAGGTCCCAGTGGCTTGGTCCACATGGTGATCTGGGTCAAGTTCGATGCACACCTCACACGTTGCGTGGCCCCACAGGGAGCACCACCCCAGGCCCCTGTGGTTAGGTTCACATGGTGGACCGCCACATTTCAGCAGATCCCTCACCCGTTTCGTGGCCACAGACTGAGCTCCACCCAAGACCCCAGTGTTTGGGTTCACATGGTGGACCGCCCCATGTCGGCAGACCCCTCACACGTTTCGTGGCCCCATAGGGAGCTCCATTGAATGCCCCAGTGGCTGGGTTCGTATGGAGGCCCGCCCCATGTCGGCAGACCCCTCACACGGTGCGTGGCCCCTCAGGGAGCTCCCCCGAAGGCTCCAGTGGCCGGGCTCACATGGTGACCCGCCCCATCTCGGTACACCCCTCACACCTTTCGTGGCTCCACTGGGTGCTCCACCAAAGGCCCCAGTGGCTGGGTTCACATGGAGACACGCCCCATGTCGGCAGACCCCTAACACGTTGCGTGGCCCTATGGGGAGCTCCTCCGAAAGCTCCAGTGGCTGGGCTGGTGACCCGCTCCATCTCGACAAACCCCCCCTCTCACCTTTCGTGGCTCCACAGTGTGTTCCACCAAAGGCCCCAGTGGCTGGGTTCACATGGTGACCCGCTTCATTTTCGGCAGATCCATCACACTTTCCGTGGCCCCATAATGGGGCTTCACCCAAGCCCCCAGTGGCTACGTCCGCATGCTGCCGCCCCGACCATTTCGGCAGACCCTTCACACGTTTAGTGGCCCATGGAGAGCTCCACCCAAGCCACAGTGGTCAGGTCCACATGGTGATCCGGTTTCGTCCAGTTCGGCATTCCCCTCATGCGTTTCGTGGCCCCATAGGGAGTCCAGCCGAAGGCCCCAGCGGCAGGGTCCACATGGCGTACCCGTGCCCGATTCGGCAAACTCCTCACACGTTTCGTGGCCCATATACAAAAGGGTTGGGTTCTTCACCAGGGTATGCTTTTCCGTTGGTGTGTGGGGGAGCAGGAGGAGGAGGAGCAGGAGGAGGAGCAAGAGGAGCAAGAGGAGGAGCAGGAGGAGGAGGAGGAGGAGGAGGAGGAGGAGACGAGAAGGTCGGTCACGCGCGCAGTGGCGCCGCGCACTTGCGCGCCGCCGATGGGCGATGAGGCAGGTACGGTTCTGCGGTGGCCCTGTAAACTATCTCGCAGTTGCGAGACCCGGCCCCCGCAGTGCGGGCACGCGCACAAGGCATGTATGTGTTTCAATGCCAGGGCATTACTTGAGGCGGAGCCATGCAGCCATGCCTACCCTTCGCCAAGAGTATCGGCACAACGCGCCCCACTCGGGTGCGCACGGCCAGACCAGACCAGGAGGAAGAGGAGGAGGAGGAGGAGCAGCAGGAGGAGGAGGAGGAGGAGCAGGAGGGGGAGGAGGAGGAGGAGGAGGACGAGGAGGAGAAGGAGGAGGCAGGGGCAGCGTGCCGGCTGCCGAGAGAACGAAGGCCCAGCACTTCAGCAGGTCAGAGGATCAGCTCGCCATAGGCTTTTGAAGCCGACGGTCGCTCCCGCAGAATAATGCCTCCAGCCGGGCCGCGTTTTACTTCGAGCTGTTTTTCGCCAGTGCCCCTCCAAGAGGTCCATGGGCCTCTTTCGCTGCCCCTGGACGTCTCCAAGCGAGCACGCCCCACACGGCTATGAGAATGGGCTACTTCGGGGACTGTTCCGTCGGCTTCTGAGATCAAGCTTCACGCAAGGCAGGGTGCAAGATGTCAAGTTTCGGTCGAGCGAATCCAGCCTGGGATGCTTCCTTCCTCTCTGGCGGCGTGTGTGAGGGGGTGGCGCGAGGCGGGCGGCCTGCCAAAAATCTAATCTTGAGTCGGGCCCGTCCCTCTAAGGAAGAATGCTCAAAAATAGCAAGAAATAGTCAGGGGACGATTTGTTGACAATTTCGGATCGTTTTGGTGTATTTGTTTGGCTATCTTTAATGTTTCGTCCGAAATCCGCCTGTAGGGGGACAGGCTCGACTTAAATCTCATCGGGCCAAGGATTTCTTAGAAGGCATTGGCCCCGGAGGCTTCCGAGAAGGCTTCTTGGAAACTTGGGGGCCCTTCCTGGAAGGCCCCTTGCCTCCCAAGGAGCTTTCGGCCTTCCCAGAAGGCCTCCCCCCGTCAACCGTCTGTGCTCGCCGCCAGCCTCCCTCATCCGCCCTTCCGTGACTTCTCGGAGTCCTTCTCCGAGCCGTCCCATGAGGGGATCCTCCTGTCCACGCGGACGCGCACCACTGCCTCGCGAGCGGCCACGTCCGCGCGGCGTCTGCCGTACGCGGCGCGCTTCTCCATCACGGCGCCGACTGCACTTACGATTGTCGCATCTTCGACGCGTACTCCCGCCGCGAGAATCTCGGCAGCTCCATCGCGAAACCAGAGGCCGTCGTCGTCAATGTAGAGGCGCCTTGAGGGACACGGCCGCAGCTGCGCCCACGCCCCGTCGCTCCTCGTCCTCGTCGTCCTCCTCTTCCTCTTCCTCCTCCTCCTCCTCCTCCTCGGCGTCTCTCCTTTGCCCCCGCGCCCTCCCTTTGCCGCCTCGCGCTGCCTCTTCTCCCTCCTCCCATTGCGTAATTTGGATGGTCCCTGGGCCCAAAGCGGCGTGGATCGTCTCGTTTATCGTGCCTCTGTGATCTCGCCTTCTTTGTGAGACTGCATCAGTTAGCGCCACATGCAAGCGGCATGCGTTTTCGCTTCCAGTCTGTTTCCTCGGTAGATTGCCAACATGATGGCCAAAACATCGTTCGCATGAGGGGGACCAATGGGACAACGTATGTTGTGGCCGTGAGGCGTGGTAAACACATGACTCGCAGTGAGCCATCGCGTGACCGAGCGGACGCTGACACTTGCGGCATTCGGTGATACAAGAGACGGGAGCGGCAACGGAAATATTACTCCAGAGAGAAACCCCAATCGGTGGATGGTTTGAAATGGGATCTATAAAGAGATCGATAAGGAGATCGACAGGGAACCCGGGAACGTGGGAAACCGGAACCTACCGAAATCGGACCGCAACCAATGACCAGGAACCCGGGAAGACTAGAACCAGGAACCCGGGAACCCAGCCGGCCACCAATATCGGCGGAACATTTTCGCCAAATCTTTCAATTTCCGCTAGGACCCCTTTAGTGTTGCGCGGCGGTGGTGGGTATCGACGTGCACCAAACGGCGTGTGTTTTTGGGCGATGCAGCTAAGCATATTTTCGCACCGTCGCCTCTCCCTCCGTCCCGCCCTCATCCTTCTCTTCCTCGTCCCTCCTTCGTTTTTTTGTTCAACCATCCTGTGGTGTTGGGTCCTCGCTTTGAAGAGACAGCACCCCGCGTCACACCTGTCCTCCCCCCCCTCCTCCCTCCTCCCTCCTCCTCCTCAGCTGCCGCGACAGCTCGAGGCGTGTCGATTTGGGTGCTGCACCAATTGCAGCGACGACCGCTGGAGCGCGCGCGGCCACGGGCGGCGCGGCCATCCGCGCCTCCGATCCCGCCTGGCACCGGCGCCAGCGGCGGCAGCGAACTTGGGCTCGCACGCTGCCGCGGCTGGGCGCCGCCGCGGGCTTGTTGCCCAGTCACCACAGCAGCCAGCAGCCCGCCGCCATGGCCAAGGGCGACAAGAAAGCAAGGTCATCGTCGGTCCCGCGGCAGGGCGACGGATCGACATCGTGGACCTGCAAGGACTGCGATACCCAGAACTTTTCCAGCCGCACCACATGCCGAAGCTCCGGGGAGAAGAAGACGCCGTTGCCGCCGTGAAAAGCGCGGACGGCACCCCGAGGCAGCGCATCCGCCAGCGGGGAGAGGCGAACGCAGCCAGGCTCCATGGAGCCAAAAGGAGCCGCCATGGACGTCGCAGCAGGCAGCGGACAAGGGACCCATGGGCGTCCTGCCGCTGCTCCCCATGGAGGCCAAGAAGCACAGGGCGTGGGTGCAGCCGCCCCCGCTCGCCGCTGGGCTCAAACAGTTTCGAGGATCCCTGCGCAAGGCGCTGCTCGCGGCAGAGGGCAGAGTCAGAGCGATCAGAGGGACTGCCATAGCCAGATCGGAAGAAGTCGGACTAGGGCGAGCGAGAGTACGCCGCCATCTTCTGCCAGGTCATCATGGCCAAGGACCCGGAGCAGAGGCAGGAACACAAAGAAACTTACGAGCCGGACGCTGAGCAGCCAGGTCCACAGTGGCATGGCATGGGGATTGAGGAGGCGAAGCGCGGCCGGCCAGCATGCCGCGAGCAGTTCGAGCAGCTGATGCAGCAGCTACCAGACGCGTCACTCCACTTGCGCCCCAACGACCACGCAGAGGTGCTGGACGACGCAGTTCGAGAGGCAGCGGCACAGGCGTTCCCCAAGGACCCGATGCCGCCACACAGCTCGTGGACGTCAACAGCCTCGAGGGACCTGTGCCATCACGGGCGAGCACGTCAACGGCGAGCACGTCGCACCCAGACCAAATCCAGGCACATGTTGATGTTAGTGCTGTTCGCCGCCTGGGGACAACAATCGGACAGGCCAGGGCAGCGTCAACGCCAGAGAGGCGACCAAGTGCGTGGAGGTCATGCCCCCGCTGCTCGAGATGCTGAGAAGCTTCCAGGGGCTGCTGGGCACCGCGGCTGAGGTGCTCAAGTCTCAGTTCCCGCGGCCGCTACGTCACCGACGCGCCGCCAAGCTGCCGGCCAAAGCAGCTGCACCTGCGAGGAGGGCCGCCCACTTCGGCGAGACTCCGAGCGAAGGGCCCCAAGGCCCAGACGACGTGAAGGGCCATGACAGCCTGGCGCCACCCCTGGCCACAGCGGCGCAGCCAAGAGGACCATGCCAGCAGCAAGATCTGGAGGCAACAAGCCAGCACTTCCAGCTGGACCAGGAGGTAGAGGACCCCTTCGGCGACATCTTCGAGGATACGCAGTGCATTCCAACGGCGCCAGGTGCGACGGCTCGGACATCGCGCGCAGTATATGAGGGCACTCCGAACACCTCCGAGTGCCGCGAGGGGGCGGAGGTTCTCTACGGCTTGCATTGCGACACGGCGGGGGGGGGGGGCAGTCGAGTACGACCTGGCGGCTGACGAGGACGTCCTGGTCGAGGGGGCGTTGGGCGACGCTCCGCTGCGTGGGAGCGCGGGCGCTGCGGGTCGATCCGCGAGGGGGGTCGGCCAAACTTCGGGCGAACCGCCGATCCCAACGCGGCTCTCGCCAAAGCCCCACGCTGACGCGGAACGGGAGGACGCTAGTACTAGAACGCAAGTCCCAGCCCCCAGGAGCACCCTCGAGGTAAACAGCGAGAGGTGCTGGGCGCAGTCGCCAAGTTCGACGCGCTACCAGCTGGACCAAGAGGTCGAGGACCTCTCCGGTGACATCTTCGAGGATACGCGGTGCACTCCGCCAGCGACGGGCGCGAAGACTGGGCAGTCGCGCGCCGTGTCTGCGGGCCCTCCAAGCGCCGCGGGCCCCGTCCGCGGGGCCGCCGACCGCGCGAGGAGAGGAGAACGCGCCGTTGCTGGATGGGGCAACGCGGGCAGGGCTGCGAGTGACAGGAGGGGCGGCGCGTTGGCCAGGGCGGGGCGGGGAGCAGCTCATGGGGCACCCCGCGCCCCCCCCCCCCCCCCCCCCCCCCCCCCCAAGCCAGTGGCAACCGCGCGACCGCGCGAAGAGGAGGGCCCCAGCGAGGATCAACGTGCTGGAGGAGCGGAGGGGAGCACCGAGCAGCTCACGCACCCACTGCGACGGCAGCAATGACTGTGGTATCTTTGACTGCGTCGACGGAGGTGACGCAGCGCGCCGGGCGGATGCTCGACATTCTGCGGGCCCGTCTCTAGGTGAGGCCCCACTCCAGAGGGTGGCCGATGCCCTCGCCGCCCAAGCGGCAGCCGGAGGTCGAGCGCCTTGCTCACCCCGGCCGCCACCACAGCCCGCTGCCGTCAAGAGGGCGCCAACCCGCGCGTAGAGTGCAGCAGCCTGCTGGAGCAAGAGCCAAGCGATATGTACGACCTACCGTGCGAGCTGCCCGAGGCGATCTCGAGGGGATGCAGGGAGCTTGCCGACGATGCAGACGACCAGGCCATCATCTGGATTCACGACGTCATGGATGCCCACGCCTGCGTGCATTCTTGGAAGGCATGGTGCGTGCCTTACGTCATGTATCGCCTGAGGCAGGACAATGGGCTCCTGCTCAGAGTCCAGGAAGGACGAGACGCTGGCATCGAGAGGACCATCCAGCGCATCGCCGAGGACATCGGCAACGACGCGTGGGGCGAGTCAGGAGACGGGCGGGAAGGGCGCCTGCGCTGGCCCTACTGGCAGGATCGACAGGGTGAACGCGCTAGTCGAGACAGGCTGGTGGCCGAACGCTGGCGAAATTCGACCAGGTGAAGGGCCACTTCAGGGCCCTCCCGGGCAGCCAGGCCCCACCGGGAGGAGCCAGGCGGCGACGGGGGCTGGACGGCAGACCTCACCCAGGAGGAGAATAATATGAAAGGCGCAGGAGGGGGCAAGATGATACGGCCCCAGATGGCCAGCTTGAGGCAAGGCATCCTGCGCTCGAAGTACACAGCCAGTCCGTAGCAGGAGTGCCAGACGACTGGGCATGCTTCGACGACGGTTGGACGGAGCAGTTCACAGACCAGGAGTGGATCCTCCATGACGCCAGCCAGGGCGACGACAAGAGGGGCGCCGACCCAAGAGCTGAACCAAGCCGCGACATGGCCAGAGGAGCACAATGCTACCTCGACAACCCCGACCACGACCCGTTCGACGACCTTGACCACGACTGCCAAGGCTCGGCTAGCAACTTTTTTGCCGAAGTCAGGAGCGACAGCCACGGTTCTCCTCGGGCCGTGTGCTGGCGCAGACTTCGCCACGCCAGGCGTAATCCAGAGGAGAAGGCACCCGTGCTCACTACGGCCAGCAACGCATGACTTAGTGGGCCAGCTGTTCAAGCAGGTGGTAGCCATCAAGCCCGAGAGGCCATCCTGCACATGCTGAACGAGTGCGACGGCGACTGGACCACCCTGCTCCCGACCATGTCCGACATCGCTGCATGGTTACAGAATGTCACCGCAGCGTTAAGCGACTGGGGTTGGAAGCTGATGCTGAAGACCGTACAGACCGCGCTCAGAGGCGACGCGGGCGACCACTACCGACGCATCACCGCGGAGGTCAGCGACGCCCTGAGCCAGATGCACACCAAGCAGGCCCTCGCGAGGCTCCGGGGCATGGGCGTAGGATCGCCCGGAAGCTGATGATGGCCACGCCGCCGCAAGTCAGGAAGCTCGACGGCAGCATGGCGGTCAATCGCCCAGAGATGGGCGACAGGTGGCTGCAGCACTTCGCCCTAGTCGAGTTCGCAGCGGACGTGCTGCTACAGAAGCTCGAGAAGTACGGTGACTTCTTCAGCCCGCTGCCCCAGGACTACGATCTCCTCGAGGACTGC